GGTACACACTTCCTGTCCCAACCTGGCAGTGACTTCCTCCCAAAGCTCCTTTCCGCTGCTGTCTTGTTCCTCCTCTACAGCCTCAAATGCTTTCGTTTTAAAGTCCTCAAAGGCTGCTGTCCTTTTCTGGTGGCTTTCATCCAAAGCTAGCGTGATCCTCTGCACTGCCTCCTGGTAGAGTGTGGCTTCCTCTGGGTTCAGGGCCTGGAGGTTCATATTGAGTTTTTCACAGAGTTCCTGAGTGTTGGACTGGAGAGCTGTCTGGAGCTGCTTAGTGAAGGGGGCGAGGAACTCCTTGATATTGGCCATGGTGTGTTTTGGGTGGCTGGGGTAAGGAGATAGTCTCTCCCTCAGCTCAGAAAGCTCCTGCTTTAGACGAGCCCTCAGGCGCTCAGACTCCATACTCAGCTTTCGTCTCAGTTCAGCCGCCATGGGGTTGCGAGAGTCTTGGGAGTAAAGGTCACTGCTCACCACATGGTTCTTCCACACACCACTGCAAAACAGGATCAGGGGTTAATGATTTGGACCATGACTTGGATGTGGACAGGAACGTCCATGATAAAGGAAATGAAAAATCTTGTAAAACTAGTTATTCGAAATGTACTTTTTGTATTCCTGTTGGTTCATATGGTTTAAGAAACTTTAATACAATTTTCAAGAAAAGCTTCAATTTAAATGTCAAGTGGTATAACCATCAAGTAAAAAGAAATAACATTTTCCATACACTCTATTTTCAAAAACATTTTGTGTTTTTCAAGGTGAAAAGTATATATATTTTTAATATCTTTCATTTTTGGTGGGTTGCACCACATGACATGACACAAGTTTTGTAAATATTAATAAACAGTTTTGTTAAAATGTTTTTTCACCCTAAGAAATAAAAATACAATATTATGCCAAACTACATGATAATGTTTTCCATGCAAGAATTTCATTATTTTTAATGAGGCGTTTTTCTTTATTGTATCACAACAGCTGTATCGCCCTGACATTTTGACTTCATGTCTCCCAAAAAAATATCAAAATTGAATTTTAGTTTAGAAATTAAAAACATGCTCATCACAAAAGGGATGTATTCAAGACATGGCATGTATGAATTACATTTTGAATAAAAGAAAATAAACCAAATAAATGAGCATCGAGTCATTGTGCCTGTTAATCAATACTACTATGAGAGTGAACTTACTTTGAATCTTTGGCGAACATTTTCTTGTCAGTAGCCTGATTGTCTCTCTGCAAACTCCATGCTTCTCGACTGATCTCATCGAGTGGAAATGCTGAAAGGAAGGATGGTTGCATTAGATCAATGTAAAATAATAATGATAATAATAATCCCCATTTTAGAGGAAATGAACTTAAAGAGACAACAAACCTGTTGTGGTAGCAAAGACCAAAGCCAGTGTAACAAACTGCAGAATCATTTTAATTTACTGAAGGTTATTCTAGAAAAAAACAAAAAACAGAAAGAATATTTAAGTATTTAGATCCATTCATTTAAATGTTATTGACTGACAATATTTTTAAAGAGGACAATTTACACGTCACCAATTCTATTTAAGTGGACATTTGGCTCTTACCTGTTGATGAAAAAATGAGAATTTCTTCTCAGGGTCCACATTTAAAGCATTCCCTTATCAGAGGTTGTCCTGCTCTTCATCTGTGTCAACACATACCACGTGGAGGGTCAGTTTGATAACGATAGGCGCAAGGAACCTAAAGGTATTTTGCCGATTGGACTCTTCAAATCTGCTCTCTTCCAACAACACAAATTCAAAGTATTCAGTGATGTCACATCAAGGCCAATACTGACGCAATTCCAAGTCAGGCGAGGTCAATGCTGTTGGAATATGTTTCATTTCAAATGTGGATGCTCTGTCCCAGGACTTATGTTGGCTGTGAACTTAACTGCATGAAATTTGGCTTAGTTTTATCAGTCATATTGAGTCCTACTTGGCTTTCCCACAGCAATGACACAGAAATACATTACAGAGAATGAACCCTCCAGGCCTGTGCTTGCTGCATTATCTCTGGCTCCATGAACAAAGGTGCTGTTTGTTTGTACTTAGGTTAGGTTTGCTTTGAGTCTATGGGTCATAGCTAGTGATATAATACAAAGCAGCTTACTTTGAACATTTGGTTATTCTTTAGACCCCACTCTCTGGCAGCTGTATAAGTGAGCATTAGGCAAGAACAAACAGTGCACAAGGAATTTTTGCTATACAAATGCCATAGTTTTATTAGTTACCAAACATTCTGTTTTGTGTATTGGGTAATGGGTTGAGCAAATCTAAAGCACTACGTCATTGTAGTTTGCTCCATTCATTTTGTACCATGGCTGTCTGGGCAATAACATGATTTAGCTAGAGATGTTATGCCATCGTGCAGTTATGGTGCACTTTTACCTTTTCCTTATTTCCTAATATTATTAGTGTATCACTAGTTACATTTCTTATCTGAAAAAAAAAGTTGGCTGTGAAGTTATATCTTATCACTAACCTAAAAACGAATGGAAACTAAACAGACTTTATACACTTCAGCAGAGCTCTCATTGCATTCATTCACAAATTTAGCGTCCTTTGTCTTAGAAAAGACAAATTCACGTGAAACACTTAATAAAAATGTTCTTAATCGCCGACAAACACTAAGATGCATTTGCATGGTTCGTTTCAGTGAAGTGAATATTCTTCTTCTTCTTATTATTATTATTATCACTATTATTTAGTGCTGTCAAAAGATGAATCGCATCCTAAATAAAAGTTGTTGTTTTTTGTTTATTTGTGTGTACTGTGTATATTTATGTATATTTAAATACACACACATATATTTTGAAAATATTTACATGTATTTACAAGTATAAATGTATATTCATAATTTATATTATATATAAATATATTTAATATATAAACATAACATATTTTTCTTAAATATATACATTCATGTGTGTGTATTTATATATACATAAAAAATATACACAGTATACACACATATTCTATGTAACCAAACAAAACAATCATATAAACAAAAACTTTTATTTTGGATGCGATTAATCGTTTGACAGCACTATATTGTTACAGCGTTGGTTTGTTCTCAAGGTTTTCCGTTACCGCTTTGCTGAGAACTAGCTCTAAACGATTCAGTTCGTGAGTGAACTGTTCAAATGATTCAGGTTATCACGTACTGATTCAGCCCACGTCTGACGTATTCATTGGAAAGCGCCGACTCTATTAAGTGATTTATTCGTGCTTTAAATCATCAGAAAAGAAATAGCAGACACACAACATGAATTCTACAAAAATCCAGGTAAAATGTTTCTCAGGTTGGTACACGGTATATTCCTTTTTCGGACAAGTATTTATTTACCAGTAAGATTTTTTTAGGGCAAAACTGTATTTTACTTGTGGCTCGTGCCACAGGAACCTAGGCGTCAGGAGTTTAGCGAGTCATAGCGACGCTTGCATCGCTAGTGAAGTAGATCTTTAAAGGTGCAGTAGGAGATCTTGGAAAATGCTAACTTTAGCCTGATAGCACTGAAAGCGAAGGTCCCACCCTCCCTGCAATCGCCGTCCAAAGCCACGCCCCCTGAACGCATTTACGCTCACAGGCCAGAAACAACATTACTACAATAGGCTACATCAGGTTACCAATTCCAGCCCATGTTCCGAAGTGAAGTAAACTTCAACGGATTTCCCCCACTCAGGGAGTAGGGAGCAATGAACACTGTGTAGGGATCATATCGATCGGAACACAGTTCATGCACATAGCTCACTTCTAACGAGCTGGTTATCTGAATCGGGTGTGTAAGCGAGACATGCACAATATGCAGAGCTGGGGGGCGCAAGTACTAGATTAACCGCTGGGCTACATCATGTGTCATTCACCGGTGAGAAATCTTTAAAAGTACTACAATACCAGGAAGGAAGATCGGGTTGTTGATGTTTGCCTGCCATCCTCGCTCTGTCTGCACAGCGTGCGTGAACGTGCTGATGACGTATCCTGTCTGCGCGAACCGGTGTGCAGAGGTATGCTAATACATACGCTGACAGACAGGTAGGAAAGCTAATTAAAACGCTTGGACCGAGCGTTTTGATTGGACGAACATTTCTTGATCCTACGCCTTCCACAGAATATATAAATACAGACAAATACATTTAGGCCACTTAACTTAATGATTGCTATCGGGATGTGAAGAGACTTTCAACCAGCATAACAAAAAATGTTTCTGAAGACAATCACCTATTGCACCTTTAAATACGGACACAGATGAAGAGCTCAGATGCAAAGCCTCTAAAAGTGCCGTTTGAAATTTTCTTCTAAAATTAGCATTTTTATCAGGCTCCTATGTGGCAATGAATATATTATTTTCATTGTCATTAAAGTGAAATAACTGAACATAAACATAGGAGCCTGAGAAAAATGCTTTTGCATCTGAACTCTTCAGTTGTTCTCCAGGAAGGGACTGCAGGATAACTCTCCATGTTTGGAAACACGATATTGAGTTAAACTTGTGATAACAAATTGTGCAACAGGTTGTTTTGTGGGAATGGGCATCAGTTAATAAGTAGTCTAACTATATAATCATGTGGTTTTATTATTTTTATTTTATCATTGTTTTTATCATATTACCATTTTACGACTGCAACACTAAAGCTACCTACTACCTAGTCATTGAGTTCATTCTTACGTAGGGCTAGAAGTGTGTGAAATGTGAAAATATATATTACATAATTGAAGTCACCATTAGGTCATAGTCCACACACACTCAGCTAAAGTAATTCAGGGTCCAAGTTCACTGATTTTTGAAGCACATTACAAAAAAAATATGTCATAAGTGTGGTAAGCATAGTCTTTAATTGGATAGATTCATACTTTTTAAAATATTGTTTTTCACTTCAAATTTTATGACCGGTTTGCATTGTCAATGCAAGATATGATTTCCTTGCACAGTTCAAAGATGTAAATATTTTGTGTGAATTCAAGCTTGTTTATACTAATATAGGGTTCTGGATCCTGCAGATTCAACTTTAACCCAGATATCGCAATCGGTTTACTAGGCTGACCATGGCCTTCTCACCTTCTGGGTGCGCATCAAATGAATGAAGCCAAAGGATTTGAAAAACAAGGTTTGTTGTTTTAGCGTCCCACTGCTTGTTAGAATACAGAGTGCCTGGAATGTTCTCTTCTCCTGCCAAAGCATTTCAGAAAGTGCACACTAGTAACAAATTTCAGATAGGACTTTTTCTCATACGACTGCAACTTGTGACTGATTTAATGTTTTTCAGATGTGCTGAAAGACATTTAAAGCACAGCCAAAATCATTAATCAGTTTCATGGTTTCAATGTGGCCTGTAATCTGAACTGGCAGCATCAGGTTGCATCTTTCTACCTATTGGCATGTGTGATACTTTATCTCTAGACTGTTCATGAATCATTCAGCATGGCAGGGAGAGAGCTTCCTGTATGCCTTCAAGCTGTCTCTGAGCCCTGGACAGCAAATTGACATGATGTGCTCATTCAGGGTTTGCCTCTGCTGGCCTACCTTTGCTGGTTCCTTACCTACTTTGCTGGTTCCTTGCCCCAAGACTGAGCACTGCTGTTGGATCAAACGTAACTCTAAGACTTCCTGAAAGATCTTCCTGCAAACCAGGTAACTTGAATTTTTCTGGGACCTGAGGATGTGAAAATGCATCTAGTGGGTGTTTATTAGAGTCCCAGGGGTTAATTTTTAATACAGTGTAAACAAGACAACTGTCTTCAGCTCTTTACCATGCATTGATCATATATTTTGGCTAATTTTATGTGTATTTTAATAATACAAATAATAATGTTTTACCCTTTTTCTGTTAAACTCTGAAAATGCATTATAAAATTATTTTAAATTACAATGATCTAAAAAGAGTGAAGTAATCATTTTGATATTTATTGTGTTAAAATTTTCACTTGTGATCATTTAATTGCAAGCCATTTCCAACCATGATGTATTTTTGTAAAAATATTCAAAAAGTAAATGCAAGTGTGTATTAGGACACAGTGCTAGTTATGAAATGTTCCTTATCAAGACTTCAGACTTTTTCCCCCAATATCTTTTAAATGTATTTTCATCCACAGTGGAAGACATTGTTAGAAGACCAAGTCAATTAGTTAGAGTGTGAAAAGTGTTTTAAAAGCTTCTTTTCTAAAAGTTCACTTTGCCAAAAATTCCATATTTGAAGAAAAACTTAAAGAATAAGTCAACCAAATATTAAAATTTGCTGAAAATGTACTCACCCTCAGGCCATCGGAGATGTAGATTAGTTTGTTTCTTCATCTGAACAGATCTGGAGAAATTTACCATCACATCACTTGCTCACCAATGGATCCTCTGCAGTGAATGGGTGCCGTCAGAATGAGAGTTCAAACAGCTGATAAAAGCATCATAGCAATCCATAAGTAATCCACACAACTCCAGTCCATCAATTAACATCTTGTGAAGTGAAAGCTGCGTGTTTGTATTCATAATTACGATGTTTCATCAATAAACTCATAATAAAGGCAGATGCTTCTGACGATTTAAAGTTAAAATGCTTTTTTTAAATTGTTTGATTTGTTTGATGGAGGATTTTGATTTGTTTGATGGATTATATGATGGACAAACAAACAAACAGCTTTTTAATTCACAAGACATTCATTGATGAACTGGAGTCATGTGGATTACTTGTGGATTATTGAAATTTTTTATCAGCAGTTTGGACTCATTCTGACGGCATCCATTCACTCCATTGGTGAACTAGCAATGGCAAATTTTGGCAATGGCAAATTTATTTATATAGCACCATTAATTACAACCTGAAAATGCATCTAGTGGGTGTTTATTAGAGTCCCAGGGGTTAATTTTTAATACAGTGTAAACAAGACAACTGTCTTCAGCTCTTTACCATGCATTGATCATATATTTTGGCTAATTTTATGTGTATTTTAATAATACAAATAATAATGTTTTACCCTTTTTCTGTTAAACTCTGAAAATGCATTATAAAATTATTTTAAATTACAATGATCTAAAAAGAGTGAAGTAATCATTTTGATATTTATTGTGTTAAAATTTTCACTTGTGATCATTTAATTGCAAGCCATTTCCAACCATGATGTATTTTTGTAAAAATATTCAAAAAGTAAATGCAAGTGTGTATTAGGACACAGTGCTAGTTATGAAATGTTCCTTATCAAGACTTCAGACTTTTTCCCCCAATATCTTTTAAATGTATTTTCATCCACAGTGGAAGACATTGTTAGAAGACCAAGTCAATTAGTTAGAGTGTGAAAAGTGTTTTAAAAGCTTCTTTTCTAAAAGTTCACTTTGCCAAAAATTCCATATTTGAAGAAAAACTTAAAGAATAAGTCAACCAAATATTAAAATTTGCTGAAAATGTACTCACCCTCAGGCCATCGGAGATGTAGATTAGTTTGTTTCTTCATCTGAACAGATCTGGAGAAATTTACCATCACATCACTTGCTCACCAATGGATCCTCTGCAGTGAATGGGTGCCGTCAGAATGAGAGTTCAAACAGCTGATAAAAGCATCATAGCAATCCATAAGTAATCCACACAACTCCAGTCCATCAATTAACATCTTGTGAAGTGAAAGCTGCGTGTTTGTATTCATAATTACGATGTTTCATCAATAAACTCATAATAAAGGCAGATGCTTCTGACGATTTAAAGTTAAAATGCTTTTTTTAAATTGTTTGATTTGTTTGATGGAGGATTTTGATTTGTTTGATGGATTATATGATGGACAAACAAACAAACAGCTTTTTAATTCACAAGACATTCATTGATGAACTGGAGTCATGTGGATTACTTGTGGATTATTGAAATTTTTTATCAGCAGTTTGGACTCATTCTGACGGCATCCATTCACTCCATTGGTGAACTAGCAATGGCAAATTTTGGCAATGGCAAATTTATTTATATAGCACCATTAATTACAACCCATGGTTGTCCAATGTGCTTTACAACAAAATAAAAAATGAAAACACAAAAACACATTTACTTAAAAATACACAAAGTATAATAAAAAACAATAAAATGTAAGGCAGGAAAGTGTTAATACAGATTATAAGCCTTGTCAAACAAATACGTTTTTAAGCTAGATTTAAAAGCAGATACAGAGGGGGCAAGTCTGATTGTGATAGGTAATTCATTCCAGAGTCTGGGGGCAACTACAGAGAATGCACGGTCACCTCTACACTTATACTTCGACCTAGGGATAACCAGCTGTCTCTGTTTGGAAGACCAAAGTGATCTTCTAAAGCACTACGTCATTGTAGTTTGCTCCATTCATTTTGTACCATGGCTGTCTGGGCAATAACATGATTTAGCTAGAGATGTTATGCCATCGAAGTGAGTGGGAAAATGTTCAATCAGCAGGTCAGAAAGGTAAGATGGGGCCATACCATTCAGAGATTTGTACACTATGAGTAAAATTTTAAAATCAATTCTGTGGCGCACTGGTAACCAGTGAAGAGAGTGTAAATTTGGAGTGATGTGGTCCCGTTTTCGAGTACCCGTAAGCAGTCTGGCTGCTGCATTTTGAACTAACTGTAATCGGGACAGAGCTGATTGGCTAATCCCAATATATAGAGAATTACAGTAATCCAGCCTGGAATGTACTAGCACCATGTACTAGCAATGAAATGCTAAATTTCTCCAAAATTGTTCTGATGAGGAAACAAACTCATCTTCATTTTGGTTTGTTCTGTGAGTGAGTACATTTTCATTTTTGGGTAAATTATTCCTTTAAGAATGAAATTGAGTTTGATAATTGGAGCAAGATTATCCTTCTAATTTTGTACACTTTGAAGGGTTTTACTACCCAGAGGGAGGTGAGGGTCCAGTTCCATATCCCAGAGGAACATTTGGACCAAGTTTTTGGGCCACGTCCATAAATGACTGTATCAGCTGCCCACCACATCACTATGGACCTAGAGAAGCCTTGGGCAATTGCCTGCCCTGTGGACCCTGGTCACAGCAGCCTCTGCCTGGACAAGACAACTGTACATGTTTGCAAGAGGGTCAAGTCTTTCAGGTAACAACTTATTGCATTGTTTACACAAGTTCCCATGCATTTGTAGCTAATTGTGGAGAAGCAATCTGCAGACCTCTGCTCAGATGCTCATGTTTCAGTCTGGTGGGAGTCTGGTTACCACTCTCACTGACTGCTGAATGCTCTTCAATGCTCTCATCAGTTACTAGTCACTAGGGAATTCAGTCAGGATTTATTGTCTCTAATGGCTGCCGTCTTCCTAATCCTGAATGTAGGCCAGTGACGGACAGTGTCCATGTACTTTGGGATACACACAGAAAGGAGAAGACTGTGTGTTGAAGGTCTATGAGATCTGCAAGGATGGAAGAGCACGTAACCAGCATGGAGAATGTCTGGACCACAAGCAGTGGAAACAGTATTGCTCTCAGCAGGTGAGCGTCCACTAGGACAGAGGAAACTGAGGTAATATTGAGAAACCTGTATTGCAGTCATGCTGTTTGCACTGTGATGATGACATACTCGCCATTTAGTCATCGCCATTCAAAATTTTATGAATGGTGCGTGACAACTTGGTTATTTTGCTCATGAAGGACATCCAATCTTCTTAGTGTTCAATGGTTGACCAGCAAGTCAGTGACCTCTAAAGCAAAATACCTTTCTCCGTGAACTTTTATCACACACATAGAGGCCACTTGTGTATCACTGAACGTGATGTGTGACTTATGACCCAGTTGAGCAATATGTCAATTGTTGCACCCCCCAGGTATGTCCATCTCCTGAGATGTATGAGGGTTATGATGGTTCCCTGGGCCTGTGTGCTTGCAGAGGGCTGTCCAGGCCTGAGCCAGACAGGGTCGAGTGTGTGGGCTGGTGCCGGAGCATCCTGAGTCCAGTTCTGCAGCTGGTTTGCACTGGAAGCCTTTACCTGCTCTACACTAGAGTCTAATCAACAGGTCAGGCCTATAGTCCATCCACATCATGATTAAATGTTAGTAAGGAGGCCCAAAACATGGTGACCACCTCATACTGTAGTAGTGTCTGGTCTTGGGGTAACATCAGGTTTTCCCCCAGATAGTACAATTGTATGTCATTTGTTTCATAACATCTTGATAAATAAATTACATGTCTAACTTTTCCATTTATTAAATTTATTTACTGACAAATACAATTGAAAACCTCTCACTTTTTCATGTTAGGAGTAATAGGGGTATATTTTAAGGTGCATGCATTTAAGCATTGTAGCCTGTCAAAAAAACAAACAAAAATACAGCAAAGTAATTTTTGTCAGAAATATAATATTCAGGTATGATTAATTGATTAATGTGATTGTATTTCCAATATGGATGTAATTTTGCTGCATGAAAAGTCTGTTGCAGTGCTATTTTTGTTTTCTTTATACTGTTATTATATTTATTAATATTTTGAATTCGTTTTCATTTTATTTTTTAGTCTAGTACATTTATGTGCGTTTGTAATTTAGTTTTTGTTATTTAGATTTTTTACAAAGTTTTTCATGTAATATTTATATTTTATTTCAGCTATATTTCAGTTAACGAAAACAATTTTTGATCATTTAAGTTTTACTTTCATTTAAAAATAACAACAAAGCTTTGTTATGATTTTGAAACATTTATCATAATTTCATAAATCAACATAATTTGAAATAAAATGTAGTAAAATTAAATAATAAAAATGAGAAAAAAATTCAAGTGTAGATTTTTTTTGATAATAACTCCATGGAAATGTAAGTAGTGTCACAGTTATGACATGACTGTACAGATCCTCAACAGCAAGCAAAAACTTGGATCTTTTGAGTTTTTTATTCCTTCTTTCAAGTGTCATAATCCAAAAAGTGCAAAAAAGAAAGGAAACACAGTATGACTGGATAACTTTACAACAAAGTACACAATGTGAGGGACTTGCACAGGACATTGAGAGTGTAATACAGCCCTGTTTACACACAAGTGAGAGCTTAGCACAAATAGCGGTAGGATAACACTCTGACCTATTTGTCATTAAACTACCCTTGTGTTTTCTTAAAAGGTGAGCATGTCTGGAAGCATGCTGGAGACTGTCCTCAAACACTGGGACTCCCGTGGGAGCTTGGAATGCAACGTTCATCTCAACTTCTCCAGGCCTGTGTACACAGTGCAAACACGGGGTGAGTGGCCAGAGACAAGGGCAGGAATTAGAGAGGGTTTTGTGACCACAGTTTATCAGCAGCCTGCTCTCTGTTTGCCATTGTGCAGAGGCAGGCTTCTTTGGTCTGCTTAATGCTGTCCCTGTGGAGGTCAGGAGGTTTATTCTGGCCCATAGCCAGCAAACCAACAGCCATTTTGGGCCCCTAGATACAGACCAAGGTATCTAATACATCAATGTGTATTATATATACACACAACCAGTGTATTAGACATGTTTAATGAGATACGTTTTATTAGGAAACATCAAAGACAAAGAGGAAGATTGGGACTCTCATTGGTCCAGTAAATCATCAGTGTTCGGTACATCCGATATGAGGCCTGGAGGAGTCTTGAACCCAACAGCATGTCTATGTCTGGAAGACATTCTTCTTTTTACCGTGACCCAACAGCACTATCCTCAGTATGATGTGTAAGTACATGCTGACATGTGATTCATCTGCTGCCCATCCATTTTCACTGTCCCAGATTGTCACAGAGGGAATGCTGCTTTTTCCACAGAGACAGCTTGTACAACACTAATGCTGCGTTTGACTTGGGTCCCTTCAGATTATTGGCACAGGACCAAGAACTGGCACGATCTGCCCACTGCCTTTTTTCCATAAGTCTCCATGAGCCTGGGGTGTACGCCTTCAAACTCAGCAGCCACCAACATAGGCACATGGTATTATGATCCATTTTCATTACAGCAGATAACCATTATAATCCATTACGGCAGATAACCATTATAAATGTTATTAAAAGTCTGTACTATTTAGTCTAAAGAAATTAAAAATTAAATACTAAAAACTAAAATCAGTTGTTTTAAATGAAAAAGTAAAATTTGAGGGTTTTTTCAACTAATATGTTTGCACTCATACTTAACAGCTTAAATAACAGCTTTACATATATTAATACAGTAAAAACAGTAAAATTATTACAATTTAAAATAACTTTTCTATTTTCATATATTTTAAAATGAAATGTATTAATGTGACTCAAAGCTGAATTTTCAGCAGCCATTAGTCCAGTCTTCAGTGTCAAATGATCCTTCAGAAATTAATTTAATTAACTGATTTGGTTCTCAAGAAACATTTCTTATAATTATCAATGTTAAAAACAGTTGTGCTGCTTAATAGTTATGTGTAAACAGTGATACATTTTTCAGGATTCTTTGATGAACAGAAAGTTCAAAAGAACAGCATTAATTTTGTAACATTATAAATGTCTTTACTGTCACTTTTCATGAGTTAATGCATGAAACTTGATTTCTTAGTTTTCCCCACACATCACATCTTATATTTTCATCTCATCTAAACTTTTACAGGCAAATGTGTTTGTTATTGTGAAAACGACACGGTTGTATTTTATTAGAATTAAAAAAATCAAAGTGATTAATAAATAATTTTCACACAATAAATATTTAAATTGTGTATTGTTTTTATTTCACCTTGTTTAGTTTATCGTAATTTTAAATATTTAACAATTATTCTTGTTTGAAGATTGAAAGTCTCGGTCTGAGACAACGGAAAAAAACAATGGAAATCATACATAAAAAGCAACTGACATGTAGCAAAAGTAATAAATCAAGACATGATAAATAGTTTCCAAGACTTTCACATATAAAAAAGAAAAAACTTAGGTAACACTTTAGTATATGGACAGATTCTCGCTATTAACTAGTTGTTTATTAGCATGCAAATTGCTAGAATATTGGCTATTTATTAGTACTTATAAAGCACATATTCTGCATAACCATATTCTACATCCTAATCCTAAACTTAACAACTACTTTACTAAGCAGTAATTAGGAGTTTATTGAGGCAAAAGTCGTAGTTAATAGTTAATTAATTGCTAGAATTAGACCTTAAAATAAAGTGTGACCAAAAGTTAAAATCTGTTAGTTGTAATAAAAAAATCAATCACTCTGTCTGTTTATTCACTGATGTTCTTGTTTGGTCTCTTCAGTATGTGAGGGTAGTGCCTGCAGGCGGAGAGTGTTATGACACTGGACCCTTCTTCCCTTCAGACCCACATCATTTGACTCGCATGGGCATCGCACAGAGGCGCCAACTGCTGCTCCGCCCCGATTGGCTGATGATCGGTGGGCTTTTAGTTGGAGCTGTGGTAATCCTGTGCATCACAATATTGGTAAATGATAAGGGAGGCTTTAACAAAAACTTGGGGTTAACAAAGCTTGGCTTATTGAAGTGACTGAACACCGCATCCTCACAGATCCTGTTCAGGGAGTACGGTTGGCCTGAGAAACTGCCAGCTCAGGCCAGGTACCGTGATCTGCAGCTCAGGTACAACATGGACGACTATTCATCGAAGGGCTCCAGAGTGGTGTCTGTGAAAAAAACACATCGAAACCTGCAGGTGGGGTTGACTGAGGATTCAGTACAGAGAGGTAACCACTGACGTCACACACCACAGATACATGAGCAAACCTTTTTTAGTACGAGCAGGGGATACATATGCTGCTACCTTACACAATTAGACCTACCTTACAAGATCACCTCTGACCCTGTGCATTCCAGGTTCATCCCCTATAATGCCTCATGTACAGCCATATCACATTCCATACGAGTTAAAAGATTACACAGACTTGACACTAACACTAACTTAACACAGACTTAACACATACACTAACAAACATTGTTCACGATGTGTTATGATTAAAAGATGGCGGCGCGTTCACACGCTGCGGCTTCTCTCTCTCCCGACAGAAAGGTGTTTTCGTGTTTTTTGTCTTGTGAATCGCAGTGTTTTTGTACGTATTCGTCGCGTCTATCTGTCTCTAAGCGCGCATACAGTCGTGAGTTTCTGCTCGATGTCGGCAGAACCACATTTTTAGAGTTAAACTCTGCGCACGCCGAAGAGCTGCGGGATCTCAATTTCAATTCTCTGTGTGTATGTGCTGTACATGTGGAAGAATTGACAATAAAGCAGACTTGACTTGACTTGACTTCACACTTTACAATAAGGAACTAACAGTGAACAATGACTATATATACACTGAACAAAATTATAAACGCAACACTTTTGTTTTTGCCCCCATTTTTCATGAGCTGAACTCAAAGATATAAGACTTCTTCTATGTACACAAAAGGCCTATTTCTCTCAAATATTGTTCACAAATCTGTCTAAATCTGTGTTAGTGAGCACTTCTCCTTTGCCGAGATAATCCATCCACCTCACAGGTGTGGCATATCGGCTATTTCTACAAATATACCCCAGCGACTTAAGACTGGTTTTGTGGTCCAGGGTCACATATTGTAAAAATGACATTATTTATATAGTGTTATTTTATATATAATACTAATATAAATATATATGATAATGTATTCTCAAAAACAAAAAAGACATTTGTAATGTATCTAATATCCAACAACTGGGAAAATAAAAAATATTTTATAAATTAAAGCTTTTTGTCTATAGATAGAAAAATGTAGATGCTTAAAAATGAACAAACATGATTTCAGGCATAACATCCTTTTTTTTTTAACAGTATCAAATTACAAGGAATCCCCCTGTACTTCACAATAAAGGAGAAAACGATTACCCTAAGATCTCAAAAGCTCTTTTCTTTATTTGCTCCATTTAGCATTTGAACATCCATTGCTAAGATTCCTTGTCTGCTTAAGATAACCATGATATCAGGATTCATTCATGATGGCTGTAGCAAAACTGACCTATTTTACCCTCATATGGTTCAAGTTTTTAGGATATCACTGACGTTTTGGCTGAACCACATCTCTGTTTGACAAACACTTAAAGTCCTAGACAGCATCATACACAGTTACCAAAGATTACTCTTTGCTTTCAATGCAGTGATTGTCAGGAGATGTATTGGGGCGTGACACATTTGCCTGTCCTATGGTATTGTATTGGCTCCATCCAGAGCTAGAATTCCCACAGACTGTGCGCACATTGCCCGCAGCGGTGGCTCTGGTGTCAAATGAATTCTGGGACTACGAAGAGCAAGTTGATCTCGAAGCCTTCAGTTCCAGCACCTTCTACGACATCCTACTCAAGCACAGCGTTTCTGTCACAATACGTCTCGGCCAGCTCAGAGGAGAGGTGAGACTCATAGACTGTGAACAACAGCCTATTTCCCGCCCCTCTGAGCTTTAAATATCACCCTCGTAAAGTTCAAACATATTTACCCATATTGAATAGCATCTCTGAGATGCTCGGCTGTAATTAACAGTCTCTCTGGTTTCACTCTTCACTATGATACTTTGTGGAATACAGCAGTCAATTGTTACTTCCCTGGGGCGAAGTGTGTGCATTAACTTGTAAAATGAGTTGTAAGTATAGCGTTCCTTTGTTAACTTGTTTCATTGATGGAAACGTGCAGGTGAAACAGCTCTATCAGGTGGTGCTGGGGAAGCTGAGAGAGCTCCACCCTGGCTGGAGGATGTTTGGAGGGAAAACCGAAGGTCTGGAGAGGCAGGTGCAGCAGGAGATGGTGTGACGGAGAGCACTGGGCAATCAGCTGACAAAGCTACTGGACAGCCAGCTGCAGATCCTGCGGGTGGAGATGAGAGCGCAGCGGGCCATGCAGAAGACCTTCAGTGCGTGACTGAGAGAGAGCGTGAGGCTTCTGAGACTGTTGGCTGAGGGTCAGACCTCGCTCTGGGTTAAACACATCAAGCAACAGTATGGAGAGGCAGATATGTATCTGTTTTATCTCCGCTTGCTTATTCAAGTGTATGTGTGTGTTTGAAACTTGGTGACACACTTAAAGAAAAATTCTAAACCACAGAAAAGTGGTTCATAACTACATTAATGCTGTCAATATTATCAAATTAAACATTCAATCTTGAATAATTAATCAAATGATTAATTAATCACACTTAATCACATATATATTATATATACAAAAGCCTCCAAATGAAGACATTGCATTATTGTGCCAGAAAAATGCATTGAATGGATATAACAAAAAAGTGAATGTAGAAGGCAGTATACAATAAAGTTTTTTTTTTTTTTAAGAAATTAGCACTTCAGCAAGGAGACATTTAATTAATCAAAAGTGACAGTAAAGACATTTATAATGTTATTTATAAGGTTCATATGTCAAATAAATGCTGTTCTTTTGAGCTCTATTCATCAAAGAATCATGAACAAATGATCATAGTTCCATACAAATATTAAGCAGCAAAAACATTGTTTTCAGCATTGATAACAATAAGCCATGTTTACTGAGCATCAAATCAGCATATTAGAATGATTTCTAAAGGACTGTGACAAATGTAGCCTGGAGTAATGATGCTGAAAATTCAGCTTTGCCATCACTGAAAAGATTACATTATAAAATAAATAAATTCTAATAGAAAGCAGGTATTTTACATTGCAAAAATACTTCACAGTATTGCTGTTTTTACTATACTTTTTAATCAAATAAATGCACATGCTGAGAGATTTCTAAGAGACTTCATTCAAAAACATTTAAAAATCTTACCAACCCCAAGCATTTGAATGGTGGTGCTTTTTTATTATTATTATTTCATATCATTGAAGTCTATCACTGGCCTGCAGATCACTGTGATTTTTACAATTTACTGTTTTACAATTAAGTTGTCGATCTGTCCGAGGTAGGCTATTCACATAGGATGGATTATTTTATTTCAGCTGTCATATTTTTAAAATGTACACATCCAGGCAGGACCCCTCAAAGGGCTCAAATTAACCTGTTGTCATTTATATCAGTGTTAACTAAAAGCATTAGAATGTTATTGTGTGTCTTCATTTAGATAGCTAAGTGTGTGAATGTGTGTACTCAAAATGGTTTCTGAATGTCAAAATTGTCAAGGTTCTCAATGACTGTATTGTAATTATTGGTAGAAAAACATAGTTTGTATAACTGAGAATCTCTTAGTATCATCTTCGTCCCAGCCCTCTTATCGCATTTCCAGATCCATAATCACAAAGGAAGTGAGTAGCTTAAAGCTTTGTTCAGAGTGCACTCAATAGTGATTTATTTTCACATCCGATCTTTAGGATTGACAGTCTAGTGGGTGCTGTGATGAAACTGAATCTGTTTGTTTAGGATGTGCTGTATATCCAATATATCTGCACGGCTGCAGTAATATTCATGCATTAGCATAATATGAAGAGAGTTAAAAGAATGTAGGTTTCATTGTGGAAAAAGAGGAGGGGAAAACTAGACTAGACATGACTGTATGATGTCAGTGCTGAACTCATGAGGCACATCAGATAACATAAGCAGAGGCATCAGCAAGGTGTCCTTGATGCCCAGGAAGGGCACGACACAGCCAGGCCACAGTAAAACCAACGTCTGCCTGACTTCGTGCCTCTGGATCTACCCAGCCTGCCCTTCACCTCCCTCAGTACCTCCCTCTGATTACACACTTCTAAGCCCAAATCCTCCACTCATCCCAATGTGTTGACATTCCCTAACATTAGTTTTTGTCAAAATATCATAGTAAACCCATTATAAATTATTTTTCCTTAAAAAAAAAAAAACTTTAAAGTGTATAAATTGTTTCATTATCATTGTTATTTAAATGTTATGTTAATCTATGATTCATAAGCTACTGTATATGTTGTGCACTGCAGTGTTCTGGAGCGAGTGGCTGTGCTGTCTGATGAGATGACTGAGATGGTATCAGTGGAGAGCCAAAGGCTGGGGGCCTGGGTTGTGCTTAAAGAGCGCACTGGAGCACATCTATTGTGCCCTGCTACTGGATCGGTCCTCAGTAGGGAAGACGTCATCGGTGAGACCTTTTAAATAATATGTCTGAGTCGTTTACAGATATTAACCATGCAATTCAGACCTAATGCTATTTACAGTCAGTTACTGTGCAATCATGTCCCCTAGTGGAATATAATAGAAAATAGCCATAAGACTTGAAAAGTCTTGCACCACTAGGTGGAGGTATTTTACAACATTGCCCACGTTTTGCTGGTCAAATCCTGACAAATAGCTTCTGAGGCTCAACTTGGCATGTCTGTGGCATGACTGATTGATTAAAGTCTGCGGAAACACAGAAAGATTTCACTCTTTTTCCCTCCGCAGCTCCTGATGGAGCTGTTAGAGCTTGTGATGCTGTTCATGTTAGACCCCCCCCACACAGGCCTAATTCAACCCAACTCTAACGCCCATATGTTACTGGCCAGTGGACACAGCATGCCAGTGCCCCCGGACTTCTTCCTGCACCCCCAGACTGGCAAGCTACTGCCTGTGGCTGGAAACGTGGGCTTTGATCCTGCTTCCTCCACCCTTGTCTTTACAGCCCATGCTTGTGTGGATGAGTCACTCGGGTGCTAGTTAGTACATCTAAATGAATATTCTAAGTTCAGTACAAGTTAAGCTCAATTGACAGCACATGTGGCTTAATGTTGATTACAGCAAAAAAGAAAAAAGACTCAAGAAAAAAAAGAATGGATGTTACGATGAGGTGCGTAGAATATAAGTACAAGGGGCCAGTTTTTGAAGGATGTACAGTTTTTTATTTTAAAAGTACTTGCATTATTTTTTTGCTAAACTTGTGTAGTAGTCTATATGAGCTGTAGAGTTATTCCCGCCAGTTTTATTGATATTTTAGATGTTATGTTGTCATGGCAATGAAGCAAAATTGAATATAACTTTAATTAAACAGAGTGTTTTTCCTGGTATTTTTTCCTCTCAGTCTCCAGCTCCTTCCTACAGTTCCTAGCAACAGTAACCAAGGGGGCAGGGCTAAGCAAAGGCTCATTTAATATAGGATCTCATTAAAACAATGTAAGAGCTTTCAGAACGTTTATTTCAATGCTTTTTTAGTTTATGATCACAGTGGTGATGAATACCAAATTTCAGTTTTATTGTAATATTAACAGTAGGTTAAGTAAGGAAGTGATATGAATATCGATATAAATGTAAAATATTTTATTAATTTTGCAGTTTATTATTTTCATACTTTTTTATTTGTATTTATAAAGTATTGTTTATTTGCATAAAATATTTGTTATATTTAGGTTTAATGTTTACAGTAGTCTGATTAAAAAAAATGTTTTATTGCTTTTTGATAAATCAAGTTTATAGTGCAGCACTTCAAATGGAAGTAACTGGGGCCATTTTTGGTGGGATTTAAAAGCAAAAATGTCACATTTTAAATTTGATAAAAGTATGTATGTTTAAGGACTGTAAAGTTCTCGCTGTTGCCACTGAGGCAAGAACTTCAGACTTTAAACTTCAGAATCAAACAGGTTAGTTTAGTGTTAGGGTTGCAAAGGGGTGGAAAATTTCAGGTAAAGTTCCGGAAACTTTCCAAAAATCCCTGGAATATTCCAAAAAAATCCGGAAACTTTCCAAAAATCCCTGGAATATTCAAAAAAATCTTGGAAAGTTTCCAAAATTTCTGGAATGTTTCCGAAATTTACTGGAAATGTTCCACCTTTTTGCAACCCTATTTAGTGTAAGGCTAGTAAGTGATTTTTTAAAACTTCAGTCATGTTAACACGCCCGCTCTTCACATCTTGTGGCTATACTATTAAAAAAAGTGAGTATTTTACTGTTTACAGATTGGCCCCATCCACTTCTATTGTAAGTGCCTCACTGTAACCCAAATAATTGCTTTTTCAAAGGAAAGCAGGGTAGAGTTAACCTTCATTGTGCCACAAGTACTGTTGTTTGAAATTTTATTAAACTCAATGTAGGTATATGCCGGTATCAAATTTTCATATTGCGATTAATTGCTATTATTTCTGCAGTTTAGCGCCATCTGCTGTCAGAGAGTGAAAGTGCGCTTTCATCCAGAGCGTCTCTCACATGTTCCGCCATGCGCTTCTCGTCCGCGCTTATTTACATCAGAGTGCGCACGCCTCTTTCACGCAGCATACAGCGGTGTTGTGCATTTTGACCAGTTGATGGGAAAAGTATTCTTAAAATGCATTCAAAATTCGGAATAATTTGTAATATATAATTATTCACGGTATTTAGAAGTGCCCACAATAACAATATCGTGCATATTCATTACCGGGATATATCGCATTACCGAATACCGGCACAAGTCTAACCCAATGTTTCTTTTCTTAGGTGAGGTGGGAAAATGGGAATCACCCCTGCTGCCTTTCATTCCGTACCCTCCATCCCGCTATGCTGAAATCCATGCTGCTTCCAAACTATGGGGGCTTCGTTCAGGCCAAAGGTTGGTGTTCGGAGGACCCATGTGTGACTGTGACACTGGTGTTTTGGTGCCTAATCTGGCAGTCACCATCCATCCACAAACAGGATTGGTTTATCCTTTGGGAGGTGTGCACACTTTTCCCATCTCGCGCCTGCGGCAGCCTATTCAGATTGCCTCTCCCATGCTAGACCCACGTACAGGCGACCTGGTGCTCATCACCGGCGTCAGTCTTGATCCCCATACAGGTCCGTTTCTGATTGTTGAAAAAGTGTCTCAGCATGTTCAAACAGCCTGATTGATGAGTGTCTCTGTTCAGGGGCTGTACTTCCAGTTGGGGGGCTCCTCCTGGGTGAGTCCTTCATCGAGCCCTTGAGCGGCCGGATGGCACGGGTTGGTGGATGCAGTGTGCGAGGAGGAAAGATGGTCCCTCATGCTGGGGGTTTCCAGGCTCTGCTGGACAGCCAGGCTCTGGGCGCTTGCTTGCGGGTGGCAGAGCTCCTGCAAGGATTCAGTGAGGAGTGGAGCTCAGCAGCTGCAGATCCACAAGGTGACCTGGACAGAGTCTCGGCAGCAACATTGGAGCTGGAGCAGGCCTGGAAAAGCAGCCAACTCTGTATGTCGCAGATGCTGAGTCGCCTGGAAGCCGTACAGGAACAGGCCAGGGGTGTGGCGGAGAATGGCGGTAGAGTGGGTGGGTAGGAGCTCTTTATTACAAAACATCTGTACAGCTCAAGATCGGCACATTAGTTAACAAGTTAGGTTAATGCAAAAATGTACCATTCTAACAATATTAGCACAGTTATTGATAGGTAAAATTGTGATGCAATGGCCCCTTACTGAGCCCTGCCTTAAAAACTATAAAAGCTGCCTAAAAAACTGATCAGATGTAGATTGCCAACTGTTGTTTACCATTTTCTCAGACTCGCTTTTGCTCTTTTCTAATGTTTATGGAGAATCTATGTGTTTGGATAGTGTTAAAGAAAATTTCATGGAAATTATCCAAAAATGTGATGTCAAGTTCACTTGAATCACTTGGTAATCACTTTCAAATTAGGCTTTTTTTATTTTCAGTTGACTGTGAGTGTGTTGAAGTATTGTCCTCCATTCTGATTTGCTGTCTCTGCAGTTTTAAATCAAACTACTGCATAATTTAACAATTTCCTTTAAGAAAAATGGCTAACAAAAATACTTTGCAGTGTCACAATTCATTCCAGTCCATGTAGTATTAATATCAAATTACTTTTTACCATTTTATGAGCAGATTTTACTGAAAACCATGCTGTTCATAGACATCTCCAGTTAATTCTTATGGGATGTTCTGTAAGGCAACAGAAGTCAATGGGGAGCAGAGCTTAGTGAAGGGTCATTTAATATGGGATTCAAACAGTGTAAGAGCTTTCAGAATGTTTGTCAGTTTGATTAATTTTTCTTTTAGGATAACAGTCGTTATGTAGGTAAATAACATTAAAATAAGAATATGCTATACGGTACAATTCAAAAGTCTGTAATACTCACCTAGGCTGCATTCATTTGATCAAAAATACAGTAAAAACAGCAATATTGTGAAATACTATTACAATTTTAAATAACTATTTTCTATTTTAATATATTTTTGAATGTAATTTATTCCAGTGAATGTAATTTATACTTCAGTGTCACATGATCCTTCAGAAATCATTCTATGCTGAGTTGGTGCATGTTTATTATTATTATCAATGTTGAAAATGGTGGCGCTTAATATATTTGTGGGAACTGTGATACTGTGTTTTTATTTATATTTTTTTACAGGAATCTTTGATTAAAAAACTGTTCAAAAGAACAGGATTTGTTTGAAAGGTTTTATTTCTTTTTTAGCAATGTAAAAGCGTGGACTATCACTTTTGATAAATTTAATGCATCCTTAAAATTTTTTATAAGATTTTATTGTATAAAATAAAGTTTTTATTTTTAATTTGAACATTTACAGTCATCTGAATTTCTGCTAATGCTAATTTTGCCTCCTTGCTTTCTTCTCTTCCTTTAGGGGAAATCAAGCTTCCTGGCATTGAGCTCTCCTTGCCAGCTCTCCCCGGGTTGGAGTATCCTGACCCTGGAGGCTCGGGTTTGCATGTCCCAGTTCTGGGAGCTCAGTTGGACTGGGTGTCAGGATGCATGGTGCCTCTGGCAGGAACCATGGAGGATGCAGATGGTAAAGGTAATGGAGGTTACTAGCAATGTCCAAATCCTGTTACATTAATCTCTAGGTGTTAACCTAGACTATATTATGACTCTCAGGGCTAGTTCCCATACGTTTTGGAGCGCAGACGGTGGACCCAGTGACGGGTGCTGGCTCTGGTTGTGGGGGCCAGTCTGGATGTTTGGAAGCGGACTGTGGTTCCTGTAACTGTGTCCCAGATTCCGACGTTAGGAGAGAACCCAGACAGCGTCACAGTGAGCGAAGTTGAACTAAATCACAGCCGCATAAAAGCTCATTTGGCTTCGGGGTATTTATATGTGTGCAAATGTGTGTTTGTTGGCCTCAGGTGGAAGCCCTCCAGAAGGAGAGCAATGTACGGGGCAATTACTGGCGTGAGCAGACACTGAAGGAAGAGGAGATGGTGGGAGATTTTGACAGAGCCGTTAAACACTATCTCTCCACATCCGTACACGAGCCTGACTTTGCGAGTTGACTCCACAGAGATGACACTACGCTCTGTGACCCATTTAAAATGCAAGTCTTTTGACCAAGTGTCTGTTTTTATTTTTGTGAGTGTCAGTGTGATGGGAAACGTTTCCACCATCCTTGCATCCTGAATGAGATTCTGTGCATGTTTGTGTGTGTGCACGAAACAGATAGACTGGATGGACACAGACAGGTAGCTCAGGGAGATCGCCACAGAGATTCAGGAATGCGCTCAGTGTGAGGCCCAGAGAAAAGCTCTCCAGATCTCAGATTTATCGCTGCTCCTACCAGCCCATGTGTTACATGCTCTCACAGGAGGTCGGTCCTCGCGCTCATACTCCCACTGAGAGTACAAACGGCAGTGTTGGGAAGGTTACTTTGGAAATGTAATAGGTTACAGATTACAAGTTACCCTACTTAAAATGTAATAATAGTGTATTAAAATGTAATAAGTAGTGTAACTTTTCAATTACTTTATTAAAGTAATGTAACATTACATTTGATTAGTTTTTGATTACTTTTCTAAATTTTTAATGTTTTCAACTGTTTATCATTTTTAAACATGTAAACTAGGCAGGGTAACCCTTACAGTAGTACTCAACACTGATTACTGTCATACTTTCCAAATTCTTCATCACTTGAATTAAGATTGTATTTCAATTTTAAAGTAGACATTGGATGCAAAATTCACTTTTACATGGTGTTTGCATATAAATGTATCTGAGCAGTGTGTGGACACAACCACCCTACAATGATAAAAATCCATTCACTCCTTTTTTTTA